ATATTAAAACATCAAAACATAAATTTTTTGAATAATTAAGCTTTCTTGAATTGATAGGCAAAAGTTATGGTTAAAGCTGTACATTTGCAAAAAAATTAATAAAATGCTCCTTTCCATTAATCTTCAAACATTTAATTACTTGCATTAAAAACTCCATTGTTGATCTAAACAATAATGGTGAAAGTGGCCAACTGTTGTTGATACTTCTATTTATTGTAAAATATTTTGAAATTCAGTACTTTACCCAGAGATTTACTTTATAATTGTTACTTTATTTGTTTATTGGTTTTATAAATTGCTGAAATCACTCTAGTTCTTGAGTGGCATACATCTATAAACCAGATTAAAAGCAAACATATACAATAAAAATAAAAACATATTTAAGACCCCTTCAAACCCTTCATATTTGAGTCATATACTGCATGTGAGGCAGACAGATACAAAAATAGAACAAATAAAAATAAACACAGGGTGCATCACTTAATAGACCATCATAGATTACTGTTTTAATTAATTTAAACAAATAAGGCTATTGGAGTTAATCAAATAGTTCAAAAATATTTAATGTTAAAATGGGTTTTACAGCATTTCCCATGCAAACTACAGTTAAACATTCTTCTAACTGCACTAGCTATTTCTTTACTTTTATTACAGGTAGCCAAATAAATTAAACAAAATACGTGGCATGATTATTAACCAGCAACAGAAATAGTGTGGTATTATTTTCATAGAAGTCTGCAGTCATCAAGCAAAATATATGTAACACTTAAGAGAAGATGCTTAAATTTTGTCTGCATGAATCTCCTTTTTGTTTAGGTTCAGCAGCCTTTCTATGAGCTTTTGCTCATTGCTTAATAAATAACATTCTCTGCAGCTAGAGATATCTTTGTAGCACAAATTAAGTACTACCGTGTTTCCCTGAAAATAAAACCCAGCCTTATTTTTTATTTATTTATTTATTTTGCCTCCAAAAGAGGCACCAGGTCTTATTTTCGGGGGGTGTCTTTTCCACTCACTTCGTGGCGGTAGCACCAACAGCCCCGCCCAGTCGTCCCACTTCTTCTGCGGCCGAAGGAGCAGTTTCATTCTGCAGCTGAGAATGGAGCTCCGGCCTGCATTTCACAGTTAGAGGCCTTCCAGAAAGGCCTCTGACTGTGAAATGGAGGCCGGAGCTCCATTGTCAGTTGCAGAATAAAGCTGCTCCTTCGGCCGCAGAAGAAGTGGGGCAGGGCGGCAAGGCGAGGCAAGTGTCGATCCATGGGAGGCCTGGCTGCAGTGGTAAGCTCCACACCCACCCCACCCCTGCCCTAGCTTGATTTTTAGGCATGCACCTCACCCCAAAACTAGAGGTTATTTTTGGGGTAGGACTTATATTGGGCCTACCTCTAAAAATCAAGCTATGGCTTATTTTCAAAGTAGGTCTTACTTTCAGGGAAACACGGTATTAGAACAATAGCTGTGTGTCTGTTGGGTCTGCCACTGGCTGACCTTTCCATATTTGTTCCATGGTAAAATAATAAAAAATCATATGGCAGGAATGTTTGTTTCTGTGTGTCTGTTTAGCTGTTACTACACTGTACTAGGAAGCTTCTCTATAGATCAGGGGTAGTCAACCTTGGCTCTTTTATGACTCGTGGACTTCAACTCCCAGAATTCCTGAGCCAGCTAAGCTGGCTCAGGAATTCTGGGAATTGAAGTCCACGAGTCATAAAAGAGCCAAGGTTGACTACCCCTGCTATAGATGGTCGTTTCTTAAGGATATGCCTGTCTTTAAGACTGTCACTCCATTTTATTCCATTTTTTGTGGCCAGCTTGTTTATTGTGAATAGAGACTTAAGACTTGTCAATCTGAGCAGCAGTTTTGAGATTGCCTAGAGATAGATGTCAAAGTTTAATGTTTAACCTCTTCTTTTGTTTCTTTGCTAAAATGGGCACTTCCCCTATTGATTGTATGAAGCAAGATTTTCCTGTTGCTACTGTTTTCTCTTTGGCCTTTGATCCTTTTAAAAACTTTCATATGGAATGTATTTTCTTCAGCTCACGACTGTTTAAAAGTACATAAAACACAGCTTAAATCCTCTTTTGAGTACTATGAAAACATCTCCTAGTCTAACCCTGTTTCTGAAAATGGTTGCGTGCAAGGTACCATTTTTGTGCTCTGAGCCAATGTTTGTTAACATATACTCACAGAAAACAGTTTGTACACAAAGGAATCCTTTACAAAATGAAGGTAGTAGGCTTAAGCCTAAGTTTTTATAAAGATATAAAATGTCAGTTTCATCTTTTTTTATAAAGATATAAAATGTCAGTTTCATCTTTTTCTACACAGAAAAGCTTCCCCCCCCTCTATTTATCAAAAATAGAGATATGTAAAATAAATTATGCTGGGTCAGAGAGAGCACCAGAACACCTAGAAAAGCAGACCAACCAAAGTACAGAGGCCTCTCACTCGTATTCTAAAACATTCAGAAAGAAAAAGCCTTTCAGAAGGTTAGGAAATGTTTGGATCCTGGGCAGTGTTTGGAGGAAGTGGTTTTTTTTAAAATAAATAAATAAATATCATCAAGAGTCAAATTCTTCTTGTCTAACAAGAATGAGAGTTGTTGTTGTTGTCATTTAGACAGAAGCATTTTGAAGTCAGGTTAAAGTCCATGGACAGAATATCTGAAACTGACAAAATTTCATTAGTGATAGTACAGACTGGTAATTGATGTTGCTTCATGCAATAAGTTTCTCACTAAACTATGGTAAAAATAGTAACAGTATAAATCGGCTGTTTTCAGCTTGGTGCTCTCCAATTAGAATTATTACTATACATTTTTCTAGCCAGAATTGCCCATTAATGGTCTTCCTGGCTGGGAGATACAAGACAACATATCTAGTGGGGTCAAGGTTAGGCTGGCTGAAGTTAATTGAATACCAAAATTGATGATAAACCTCACAATGAATGGAGTTGTGTAGCTTATTCCTTGAATGTGAAGGACATTAAATTTAAAATCCCATTTGTAGAATTTATACAGTTTATTTTTTTCCTAGGAGCTTAGGTCATTGTTCATAGCACTCCATCTTCTATGATTTTTTTTCTCCACAAGAACCACCTCTGGGACAGGTGGGACTGAGCGCAAAAACACTCAGTGAGCGTCCATGGCTGGCTTGCAACAGGGGCGTCAAGTTCAACTTCTTAACCACCGCCCTGCTCTGACTCTGCAAATAATAATACACCTATGACAATTAAGTATGTGTCATATATTTTCCCTCAACAGTGTAAGACTTCATTGAATATTAAGTTAATTATAAATGCTGGTACTAGACTTAGACATGTGCTGGCTCCATTGAAGATTCACTAATTCAGTCTGAATAAAATGCATCTTTACATGTAATATGCATTCCTTTTAAAAATGTCGTGGAAAGATACAGAATCTTTATTCATATAGTTGTGGTGAAAATATCTCCTTTGAAGAAACTTTTTGAATTGAGGTGATACATCTCAGAAATGTTTGAATTCCCCTCCCAGTAATATTATCAGTGTTTATCACCACCACGAACTGGTATTTATACTTAACAATGCACATAAAATGTAGTTTTATGTTTAAGACTAGTTGAAAAAGTGTGCTAGCTACTGTATGGGATTTATTATGGTAAAGTTATCTGTTATTATGCTGCCATCTCCTGACAGCTCATGTTACTATACAAAATCCGCTTCATTTGCACTTATCAGCCTGTTTTTGAAAATCAGAATCCGACAGTTTAAAATTCTGCATCGAATTATTCACTCTTATATTTTACTTTTATGTTCCATTAATAAGATACAAATGTGCATTTGAATAGGGAAGGCTATGCTCAGAGTAAGATTAATTCAACAGAATATATACACATTTTTAAATATATATTTTAAATATAGTTCATTTTTAAATTGGATTTTTTGTAAATTGTTGCCTGTAACTACAATAATCCATTTCATGGAATGGAGACCTTAGCATCATACATTTCATCAATTAGACAAAATTTCTATTTATTTTATGAAAAAGTAACATTGTCTTTCCACTTGACTCAGTCCAATGTGCAAATCCATTTAAATCCATAACGTATGTGATAAAAATTGTGTCAAGAATTAAGTGGGGATATTACATCTTTAAATCAAGATTTCTAGGAACTATTTGTAAATTCTTTGCTTAGTTTAAAATGAACCTGGAACTATAGATAGCAAATATTCCTAATCGCTAACTTTGAAAACAAAATAAGGCCGTTGCATTTTCAAGTGTTTTTTTATTTAAAAAAATCTCATTGTTTCCTTAAAAGTGAAGTGGATCCATATGTACATAGTAAATCTTCAAAATGTTCCTTCTGTGATGTACTAGTTTATGAATGCTACATTGCTGAAAGCTTATGTCACCTCACCTAAAACAGCATCCTAAAGTGTGACTTGTGCCTTTCAAGTGTGTTTCTGTAGTTGAAACATAGGATAAAGCTTATATAGTAGATTCTCCCATCTGTAGGATCTGCTTTTTAAGTAGACCAAGGGCTGTTGTATGCTGTCATAGAACTACTTTATAAAAAAGGGCAGTTGCTGAAACTTTATTCCTGACCCAAGCACTACAGCACTATCCCTCTCACCAATTTCTAGTTTCACAAACTTCATTCTGAAATTACAATGGAGTGCTTAAGCTCTAATAACAATATTCTAAAACCTTAATTGGAATTTTTAGCTGCTCAGCTAAGACAGTATTGTTTGTTTTTCAGTGGACTTGAGATGAGCTATTTTTTCAGGTTGAGAGCTGCACTTGGGCTTTGGGTGATGTGCTTTAGGCAGTGTGTAAAGAGATTGTATTTCAATTAATTTTTAAATCCCCCAACCCTTTGCTGACTTCTTTCAGTGATAGCTTAGGAGGCGAAGGGAACCACAAATGATAGTCATGGGAGCCTCATGTGTTGGGTTGTAGCTTATGTGATAACTTACATATCCAGAACAGATATTACCATACTAACTGTTTTCTTCACAGACAATACTACTGGTATGATGAGCGAGGAAAGAAGATCAAATGTACAGCCCCTCAATATGTTGACTTTGTCATGAGTTCAGTGCAGAAGTTAGTGACGGATGAGGATGTATTTCCTACCAAATATGGTATGTTTATTCTCAGAAAAAAACCTAATTCAGCCAGCTTTGGCATATAAAAACTTTATATTGATCAACGTATGTGTCTTACAGTTCATTCATTGGTGTTTGATCCAATTTAAATTAAATGAACTTAAAACAAATCATATCTCATTCCATTTATGCACATTACTATAACTTCTTTTATATTAGCTACTTCTAGTTCAGCAAAAGACTTGGCCAAAAGTGTTTTCCATCTAAAATCTGTAATCATGGTTGGGGGTTGAAATAATCACCTTCTCTAAAATGAGCAAGTCACACTTTCTGAGCATAGAAAAGACGTCTCAGTCTTGTCTATGTATCTAATAGAATTGAATGAATAAAAATATAGTGCAGTAGCCGGAACAGGTGTTGTTTATGACTGAGGTTGTGGGCCATCACCACTGAAGCCACCAAAGCTGAAGGGGATTCAGCTCGTCTCTTCTCCTCCTGGCCTTAGAGCCCTTGCCACCACCTGCTCTGTAAAAGATAACCTGAAGGAAGAGGAAATAAGGTTGATGGGACAATCTTTGCAGAAACCCAGTTAGTTGGACTTTTTTCCCCCAGAGGACTACCAATAGCCCTGTAGGAAGGAGTCTAGAAATGTGTTGTTTGTTTTAAACAATATTTAATGAATTATTATTTTATTGTTTTTATTGCTTGCAAATCACCTCAGGAGAATTTTTTAAGTAAACAAATGTTTTCAGAAGTTCAACTTAAGATGATCCTTTCACTCTCCCTCCTTTTCACGTTCACAACAGGCAAAGAATTCCCGAACTCCTTTGAGTCCCTAGTGAAGAAGATCTGCAAGTATCTGTTCCATGTGCTAGCCCACATCTATTCATCACACTTCAAGGAAACCCTGGCACTGGAATTGCATGGACATTTGAACACACTCTACGTACACTTCATCCTTTTCATCCGGGAGTTTAATCTGGTGGACCCTAAAGAAACAACCATCATGGATGACCTCACAGAGATCCTCTGCAGCAGCAGCGGGAACAGTAGCAGTAATGGAAGTGGCAATGGCAGTGGTGGTGGTGGCGGCAGCAGCAGCAGCAGTAGTAGTGCAGTAGCACAGAACCATGTGAAGGAGAGATGAGTCTTCCTAATCAGAGCAAAATCAACGCTAACACTTAAAAAAAAAGGAAAATGCTCTCTATTCTCGGATGTATGCGTATGTATATGTGCTTATGTGTGTATATATATATACATATATACAGACATACACAACCAAGAAAGCTTAAGCAATTATGCTGCCACCACAGGACATGTAGACACAAAGGACTATATGGAGTTTTGGTTAAATGCATCATCCTTGGCAAGACGTTGCACCAGTTTTGTGGGGATTTTTTTCCTTCCCTCCATTTTTCTCCTGTTTCTTCCTTTATCTGATGGATTATGAGTGCTGTTTTTAAGAGACGAACCACATTTTTTGAGTTGGGCTACTGCTTTTGTGTTCCTTTTTTTTTTTTTTTCATTCTGCCCATTTCCTTTTGGGAAGTGGTCCTTGTCCTTGAATGCAAGCTCCCTTTTAACTGGCTATCTTCCTCTCTAAGATGGTGGTACTACCATTATTTTTTTTTTTAAAAAAAAAGTTGTAAACCGTAACTTAACATGTAAAGTGGCTTACATGGGGGGGCACATTGAGACTTGTCTTTGTTTTTACTTCAGTTGATCCTTTTTCTTCCCTTCCCTCAGACCTTTTCCATCTAACCCTTTATTGGGTTGTAACGGGGAGGAAAATTGTTTTGGCCCAACTAAAGTAGCAATAAGGCTTCCAATGCACTTAAGGGAGGTGGTTCCCTGATCTCCCTGGGGTCAGAGTGTGGATCTTGAAAGCGCCCACAAAAGTTCTGGTATTTTTAGAGAGAAATTCCAGAAGATATACTAGCCAGGGAAGGAATCCACCCTGTGGTAAAAGCCATGACTGCTTCTTCTTCGCCAAAGGGGGCCTGAGACAGGATGGGAAGGGGGCACACAGTCTGCCACCACTATGCTAAGAGAGATGGCTGTTGGCATATAATTATGTTGTTGGCTTATTTTAGTTCATCTGTCCAATAATAATAATAATAATAATAAAAAATTCTATCAGACGCAAGTTGATATTTTTTTCCGCTGCATTAGCAGGCGTTATTTGTATTTCTTTGCATGTAAAGTTAAAGGTTCGTCGGTCATACCGTGGGAAGTTGCTTATGGATTTATTTGGTGTTTTTTTTTCCAATTTGCATTTTATTTTCTTAAAATATGGTATTAAGCATGAGGATATTAAGCCTGACATTTTCCATTCAAGTTACATATCCTTCTGATAAATATTTGGCCTTTCTTCTTTTAGCATTTCATTCTAAACGAACTCAGCTATTTTCTGATCAGATCAGGAAAAGATTTCCTGCATAGTTCAAGTACAATTTTCAGGGATAATGTGCTCTAATTGCTGTGAGAATCAGTATTCTGTTCATATTAGGTTGCGCTCAAGAATGAATTTACATTCCCTCATGTTATGATTTTTATTTCAAAAATGTATTAATATGGGGCAGGGAGAAGACTATTTAAAGTATCTTAGCTGAAACTATTTTTCCTCTTAGATGTGTTCTCTTTATAAAAACTCAAATATAAAGGTAAATGTTTTCCCTATCCAGTCAAGTCCGACTCTAGGGGGCGCTGCTCATCTCTGTTTCCTAGCCGAGGGAGCCAGCATTATCTGAAAACACTTCATGGTCATGACTATAGGCTGAGGGAACACTATTACCTTCCTACCAAAATTTATCTACTCACATATGCATGCTTTTGAACTGCTAGGTGGGCAGGATCTGGGTCAGGAAAGGGAGCTCACCCATTGTGCAGTACTTGGGGCTTGAACTGCTATCTTTTCAGTCAACAAGCCCAGCATCTTAACCACTAGGCCACTGCGCCCCTTCAGATATTTTGCTGGACTAAACCCTAGAACAGTGTTCAAAAGAAGTCTTACCTGTAGGAAGTACTGGTGGCAATGATCATTATTGTGCCTTTACTTTAAAAAAACAACAACTTCAGGGTACTAATGATCAGTTAAGACAAACAAAAGTGAAACTTTCAAATGATACAAGGCAGCTGACAAAATAGTAATTTCTTTCAAAAAGAAAACCTTTTGTATTAAAAGGCCTTAAGGCAAGAACAAAACAAGCCTCTTAAGAATCCAGATGCAGTCATGGAAAAGTAATGTTCACCTTTTTGATTCTTATCACCGGAAGTCTGCTTCAGTTATGGATAAAATCCCTTCTGTACAAACCTGGTTTTCCCAAATTGTATTCCCATGTCTGATGAGCTAGAACACTACTACCCAAAACATTGTTACATGGATGCCTTAAGACTGCTCAACTTTGGCACCGGGTGAGTGAGAAATTTGAAAGAAAGCTATCTTAGTGGTTCAGGCATTAAATATTCTATTGGACAAACTGCATTTTAATTTATTTAATTGAAGAACAGAGTTTGAAGGGATTTTGGAGGTCTTCTAGTCCAACCCTAAATTATTTCAATTTAGGCACCGTCTGATTCCAAACTTACTCTGGGTGATATAAAATAAAACCAAACAAAATATAAAAATACAATATAATAATAAAGCATACAAAAAAAAAGAATGAAGAAGTGCAGATGAGACGAAGCTGGCCCTACACGCTAATGCAAAGCCTGCCAGGACATGCCAAGCTCCAGGGCTTTCTGAAATGCTGTCAGGGTAGGAGCCACACAGATATAAGGCATCTGATTCCAGAGGGCAGGTGCTGCAACAGAGAGGGCCCATTATTTCTTCATATGGTCGACAAGCTGTGGGACAACTGGTGCCTATGGAGGCAAATCCATATTCCATACTGTCTTTGCACCCAAAGCAGATCACCTTCTCTATTTCTCCAATAATTAATAGGAACCCCCTCCCCCCTCCCAAGGAACCATCAGTACAAGGGGATATCTGCTCCCTTGCAAGTAAATCGCTTCCTGAAAGTGAGCCTTCATTTTCTGAGTTTTTGGACTATGATTGCGAAGCAGTTATCCTCAGACTGGGAAGCCATTACTTCATCTGAATCACTGTAAACTTTACTGATTCTGTGCTCAGAAGTCAACTTCTATAGCCTCAAGTGAGCAAAAATGTTCTCTGAGTACCGGGAACTCCTTGCATCAATTGCCTTTCTCAACTTCTGCCTGGGACGTACAAAGTTGTACATCACGCTCAGCACAAAGCACTGCATGCCCACTGTATAAGTGCCTTCCATTAGTTGGACTACTTCACTGAAGGATTAGTATTTAATGTTACTGTGCTGGGCAGTTGCATTGTTTAATATATCAGATAAGGAATGGTCGACTGCTGAATTTGCACTGCTGTTTGAATAAAAAATGATCATGTTTTGCTAGTAGGATTCCTTTATGCTCAGAAGCTTTAAAAAAGAAGCAACTAAGCATCAGACAGCTGGGAACATTTCTTATTTTAAACACGCACATGTATCACAGATGGCATTTCTACCAGGATTGCCCTAAAATAAAGAATATTCCAAAGCCTTGTGATTTATGATTCTGAACAAAACAGGAGTAATTTAACAGAAAGGAAGGAAGGAAGTGGCCTTATGTCAGAATATATGTCAGAGAAAAGAAAACACTGGGAGCTGAAAACTTGCGCGTGAAGAGTTCAATTAAAAAGAAATAGAGGCTGCTGTGCATAAGTTCTCTCTCTTTTTTTTTTCCTCTCCCTCTCTCTTTCTGTTTCCTCTCTTTCTCTCTCTCCCTCTCTCTCTTTCTGTTTCCTCTCCCTCTCTTTTTCTTTCCTCTCGCTCTCTTTCCTCTTCCTCTTTTTTCTCTTTTTCTCTTTCCTCTCGCTCTCTCTTTCCTCTCTCTCCCTCTCTTTCCTCTTTCTCTTTCTCTTTCCTCTCTCTCTTTCTCTCTCTCCCTCTCTCTGATCTTCTGCTCTGGCTTCAGGCTCTTCTCCAACAAGCTGACACACATTATTGGGCTGGCTCTCTCCTGCCCTTCCTGCTTCCTGAAGAGATGCAGCAAAGGGAGGAGCCCCGCCCAATAAGCTTGTCAGCTTGTTGGAACAGTGTGAGGCTACTCTCTTTTTTACAGAGAGAGAGAGAGAGAGAGAGAGAGGAAGCGCAAGTACCTCTCTCTGTCTCTGTCTCTCTGCAAATGGCAGAGGAGGCTGGGAGCCGTAGGAGAAGGCTCAAAGAGCCACGGGTTGCTGACCTGTGGTCTATATAATGCTGGCAGTAGCCCCAGATTACTCAGAAATTTTTCTCAAGTCTATCTGGAAATTCCAAGAATTAAACCTGGAATCTTCCATAAGTAAAATCATATGCTTTGTCACATTTTTATAACTGATATCTCAATAGTTCAAATGTTGACTTTTAGATTTGCCCAAACCTTTCTCATCTTCCATTTCCCAGTATGATTGTCCTAAAATTAAGATAACCTGGATGCTCAGCTTATATGTGTAATTAAGGCTATGTTTGGATATAGTGCTTGCAATACTTCAGGATTTCTTTAGCTTAGGAAGTAAAATTTCTGGCAAACATTTTAATGCTTCCACTTCTCTTTGTGAGGAATCAATTAAGCAAAAGTATGAACATTTGAGCTTCCTTGATAGCCCCTTATAATCTCTTTCATTTGTTTTGTACAAATGCACAATTGCTAGGTCAAAAAAGATTTGCACCTATTATGAGAATCCATCTTAATTCAAGAATTGTATCTTTGGTTTCAGAATGATCCTTGTGAGATGGAGTCAAAGTTAAGAACCAGGTAGAAATGAGAAAGAAATAAGTCACATGGAACACAAAATAATACAATTGGAAGGGATCTTGGATGTCTTCTAGTCCAACCCCTGCTCAAACAGGAGACTCTATATATTCCAGACAAATGGTTGTCCAATCTCTTCTTAAAAAGCTCCAGTGATGGAGCAGCCACAACTTCTGGAGGCAAACTGTTCCACTGATTAATTAGGAAACGAATGGTTAGTTGTTCAAAGGAAAGTATGGCACTCATGAAAAGAAAATGCAATTGGCAAAGGGACATATTCATACTATTCCTTCTTCAAACTTAAACTGCATTGTAGTTAATGTGTTCTAATAGTTCATTTATAGTGTTTTCAGTCTATGATCTTCAGAGTGTATACATACAACTGCAGAGGGAGTAGCCCGTTCTGTTAAAAGGCATAATTATGAACAATGACTGACAAGGCAGTTTCTGATGTGACCCAAAAGACACAGAAAATGGAAAGAACAAGTGGCACTTCACCTTCTTTACTGTCCCCAAATGATTGGATGGAACTCTGGCTTTTCCTATCATAGGGAGAAACAGGCAGTAACTCTGGCTTATCCTGTCATAGGGAGAAACAGGGAGTAACTCTGGCTTATCCTATCATAGGGAGAAATAGGCAGTAACTGTAACAGGCAGAAGGAATAACCTCAAAGAACAGGAGGAAGCGCTGCAAGCAAGCTAAAAGAAACCTA